AGCAACCAAAACCGGCGCTCGAATATGCGTGGTTAATGGTTGTTCAAACTGAAACTGAAAGCCAAATCTCACAACCGGTCTTTACCACCTGCAATCTGTGTACATTGCCGTAACAACTGACTCGTTATTATAAAGTACCAAATAGTAACAAATTGTTCCACACCTTCGTCTAATCGCATTAAATTAACGCAACTCCATGGCCTAATGTGTACGACTGAGTACAAGCAATCAGGGCTCGTTCATCTCACTATGTAATCGATGGATTCCTGTTTATGGGATAAGAAAAACTGAAAGGGCACCATGCATCGTGTCATTAAACTTGATTCGGCTCGCTGCGTACGTCTGTGCGTAACAATTTCAGTTGCTATCCCCTCCCACTCCATTCTGTTTGTTCTCATCATCCGATTGCCGTGCGTCGCACGAAAGCAATAACNNNNAGCAATAACGCGGATCGTAATGCGGATGAAAGTACACTTGGACACATCGCTCGGTAGCGGTAGCGGTATGGTTCACAATCAAAGCAAACAAATGATGACCTCCAATGCTTTATGTTTCATACTGAGAAGCAGGTTATTTTTCAGTTTCTGCATGGAGCGAATAGGTAATCAAAAATGTTGTTGAGTTGACAGTTAGGCAGATAAATGACTCGCTGATTCCCAGTACAAGTCATCCAGAAGTCAACTAAATGTGGGTTTTTGAGGTCTGGTCCAAGGCATATTGAGCAGTAGCAGTTCAGGGGATTAAGTGCTGGTAGAATGAATCAAATTTAGTGCGTGTCATGAGTGAATGATGATAACTATTTTGTTACTGACGATTTATGTCACTTTATCAGGGAGTCGATACAGACGGTGCTCAGGAAGAAAAGGGTAGCTGGATAGGGTGTTGTTCTCACGTAGGGAAAACGCACATTGGGTTGGCTTATCGCATCAGACCGATAAATCTGTCAGTATGTTTTGGGCGACGAATAGCCCAGTTTTAACTATTGCTAGTTTACTGTGACTATAGTATATGGCCCAGAATAGAAATCAGTGTCGGGGACTTGTTTACTTTGTAGACGTGAGCGTGATAGACATTGATGAGGTCGGTTTGTCGTATTGCATTGTATGGAAATGATACATGTGCTAGACGTTTATCGAGATTTGATTTTGTTTGTAATGAACAGCCACTTCGTCCTAACGCGTAATGCCTGTAAAATCGAAAGAGCTCATCTGAATACATAGGACAACAGCCAACCAACTCAAAGGTGCTACTCCTTTGCAGCACTCCATACATTCCATCGCATTAATCAGTAGTATGTACTTTTAAGCAGCCTTAAAAGTTGCGTGGAATATTTGTGATAAAGTAAACAGAAACAGTGAAAGCTCTCTAACTTGATGTCTTACTATTTACCGTTCTCATGCAGTCTTGGTGTTTCGAGGAGATTGAAAACCTTTATAACACACTGAACTCAATGTTAGAACACCAGAGACTCGGCCTTTTGACCTTTCTCAGTCACTGGTTTTCCTAGCCGGTTCTTATGACTACAATGTTCATCTTGAGAACAAAGTCGAATCGCGAAGAAATTTATTTCCCATTTATCGCTTTAGGCATTTACATATAGTATAGTTCTGTTAGTCAGTAGAATAATGCAAGGCCTAGGCTGATGTTGAATGAATGTCTGTGTGCAAAATGTTTGGTTGGCAACAAGCTATGGGGTCACGTTTCGACTTTGTTCTTTTGCATCAATGGGAATCTTCATCTTGTCATATAACATACTATTATATTTCACACGTAGCTGAATACAGACTGTGTGCCGAAGAAATCACGGTACAATAATCTTTGTAATAAAGAAGAAAGTTCTATGACTTGCTCGTGAGCGGAATACTGTTAGATTTCTCAGGCTAAAGCGGGTGACGATTCTTGGGTGATTCACAACCAGAGCTGTTGACTAACGGAAACCTGATCCGCAAGGTAACGGGTGGTGTGTGAAAACTGCAATCCACCGGGGCGATGTCCAGTTAATTAGATCGTACATCCTTTGTACGGTGTCTAACGTCCAAGTGCCCAATACCCAGTTGAGCCGGTGACCAGTACCATAACCAAGAAAACGTGGACCTGTGGTTCGTACACCTTTTCTTGTTTGGTTTGGAATTAGGGTTTTCAGTCAATTCCCCTGGGTGAACTGCCAGAGTGGTTCATCGACCTGGTTATAGTCCTGGATGTCGGCTTATCATTCTCTCACTTTGGTAAAAATAAACACCACAGGAAGGCTCTGAGTAGGACTTCCTCAGTAGAGACTGAGGTGCTTTGTCTTATGGGAGCATTTCCCAAGGTGTAAGGGCGGGATGACCAGTTACATATCATACAGAGGCTTTGTCGTTGTCCATCATATTGTGGAATGTAACACAAAAGCTTTAGTCACGCGTAATCTTCCTTTGGGAAATATTCAGAGAAGTACATCTGGTGTAAACTACGTCAGGAAGCCATCATACTCTCTGAAAGCTACTTTGCTCTGAGACAACCAATTGGAACAAAGGTAAACAAACCCAGGTTATTAATCGCAACCGACAGACAATCACGGCGGTTGCCAACAATCCATTTAATCAATCGTTTTGGATATGCATTCCCATATCGTCGCTCGCATAACTAAGCATGTTTTCTATCCAACAAAGAAACTCCCATGCTTCCAGATGTCTTCTATCGCACTACCTGTGCAATCACTATCTTCACGAAAAATGATTTCGCAAGACGATCATTTCGGATTCCAGTATCGAGACAATTCCGTGCGGTGATAGCAAAGTATTTATCAATATTTACATTATCTCATGTATATATTTTCTTGTCCTGTCTGAAAATATTTTCAGACTGTAAGTGCATCTCTGCAATATAAAGAAGTATTTCGCGGTTTCTATCTGGTGGTTTATATTTCATCTTTCATGTTCATTCGCGTATGCCTTTGATCGATAAATTATTCGAGCTGATCGTTGCTGTTTCTGTTTTAGATATATTACAAGACGGGGAAGAAGTCCGTTCGTATGAAATTGAAGCCGTTCGATCTCTATCAAAAGTTTTACCCCGTTGGTATCAAAAACGACGCTCGGTAAGTGTTTACTTTGTTGCGGTTCACTTCACACGGAACAATAAGCGTTCTCATCCGTCAGAAGGGTCTTTGTGTCCCCATAAAACATTAGCATCTGGCAATGTTTAAAGATAGTTGCTAGCGTTTTAAATCCAGTCCCAGTGTTCCTGTTAACGAATTGAAGTTTAAAAACGGGTTTGACCCCGTCTGTTGTTCTCCAAACATGAGTGTAAAAAAGACCAGGAAATCAGCGCCACTGTGACCGATATACTGATTTCGCGAGCTTCCTATTGAGTTACAAAATCTCAGTTTCCGATATGCGACCGCCACCTAAATCAGAAAATCTTATGAGGTCGGAGACAAACTGAAATTCAACTTAGCCAGTAGTTATCTTGTAATGAGTTCTCCGTCAAAGCAGACCCATTTTCTGTTCACCCTGCACGTTCTTCTCCATGCAGTGTGAGCTTGGCAGCAATCAGCGAAGTTCTTTTCACTGTATTTTCCTTTACTATGATGATGACTATAACTCTTTGAAGTACTGTCTCTTTCCGCTTTCCAAATGTTTCATATTACAGGGACACGACAAAATGATTACTGACGAGAACACTTTGAGAGTTATGATCATTTCTGACGATGAAGTGAATCGTGACGCTGAGTGTTGCTGATTTTCGTTCTGATTGGGTTCGTATCTGAACATGCATTTTGTTGCAATCAGCACTGGGCATTGTGGATGTCCAGTGTGCTGTTCAGTCTTAGTAATGTGCTTAAGTTGTGGTTGTTGATGACGATATCCTGCTAAAATCTTAGGGGTAAAATGCTCGTCTTTTGATTAACGACGCAATATGACAATTCCGTCTCTTTGTGATAAAAAGACTGCACGTTGATGTGATGTGACGGCTTGTGCACTACTGCGATCCAATGAACCACGCGCGATGGATTTCGTTAAATGAAAGATCAAATCACACATGGAAGTTTGATGGGTGGAGGCCAAACAAAATTTGCAATTATGTCCCCCCATTTTTAGGGTCCAACGGGAGTTGGCGTCGCAGTCGGTAAGTGCGATGGGGGAGTAATCGCCCAAATAAATAGGCTTCCACTTCGCCTTACCCACTACCTTTNCTTTGACTTTGTTTTTTGGCAGAACGAAAGACCCTTGTGTTATATTTATTGGTTGGCCTCGCTAACAGTATCTGTCTATAAAGCTCCAATGAACGCAAAAACTAAAAGTAGTTTCATACTGCATCGGTTGTCGTTCAGAATCGTTAGAAACGTGCTGCTCAGTGCATCGAGAGGAGAGAGGTAGCGATAAGTGAACTACTGCTCAGACATTTCCATGTTTGGAAGCATAGTTTCCCCGTAACGAATTTGAACAAAGAAACCAAAAACACAGATTTGCACAATGTATTCTGGATCATTTCGCTGCATCTGTACACGTGCATACTGTTATTTACTGACCATATATTAATGATCACATAGACTACGTGCGGTAGACAATCGTTGGAGTATGATACCTAGAGGCAATGTTGATCAAACTAATTCCTGTATGGTTTTCACAAGAGGATCTATCACCTTTCTTGTAAATCGGTATGATCACCGACTCACCATTCAGCTGGAACCGCCTCTCTTTCCCATATTGAGCCCAGGAGTTTTGTCAACTCCAAAACCAAGGCTGAACCTCCATGCTTGAAAACCGTTGGGGACAGCCCGTCAGGGCCGAAAGCCTCGTGCCTTTTGAGGTAACCTCCATTTCAGATAGAGGACTGGCATCAACTGGCAGTATTCGCCTACTCAAGGTGGAGGGTGAAAGATCAGATGTCGATTGGGGCCAGTTAAACTGAGCCTTGAAGTGTTTGTCCTATCGATCAAGATGACGTTGCTGATCGTGAATCAGTGTGCCATTGGATTCCTTAATTACCTCACTCACGCCTACTTTCCTGGGGCCTGTATTCCTAATTAGACGGAAAAGATTGCGACTGTTGCCGATAGCCGCAGCGTTCTTCATCTCTCTACCCACCTCTTTTCGCCGTCATTCCTCGGACTCTTGATGAGCTGGCGTTTAAGAGATTTGCGCGCTGTGTCATATGTGGCATCCGGAGGAAGGGTTCTGTGGGCTTCCAGCAGGGCAGCCGAGGTCGACGGTGTCCATCGTTTGTGTTTTGAGCTTGTGGCAGGGTTCGACGTTGTTTTTATCGATATCTGCATAGCTTCCTTGATTTGCTTTCAGTGTTCATTGAGTCCTTCGGTTGGCGGTTGAACTGACAGGCGATCGGAGAGCTCCGCTTCGAAGGCCGATTTGCATGAATCGCCGACACTGTATCGCGGATATCCGTTGTCGGTGGCTTTTTTGCGGTTGTTTGCCAGGCGTAAGGAGAATTTGGCTCGTAACAAGGCGTGGTCTGTGTCCACAGTTGTTGACCAGTAAGAGCGACAGTCTTGAATTGATCCCCTCCATCGGTAACCGATGGCGATGTAGTCCATCTGGGTTAACAGTAGTCAGATAGTACTCCCAAATCATGATCTCCGGATGTTGCAAGCTTTGAGTGACGATATCTGGCACGCGTTCTGCATGTTCAGAACATACATCATTTCTAACTGATTGAACCCACTGCAAATCTTCAGTTTCACTTTGTACAACTATTAACCATGCACTATCGTGCGCCGGTTTGGGCTGCTCATTTGTATGATCATTAGGAGAAAGACAGGAAAGGCTGGAAGTAGGATCAAGGGGAAAATTTAGAATTTCAGTGGACTAGTGTTGCAGGGAAATTGAGAAGATGTATGAACGCCAGTGTTTACTACATCCAGCCATATCACTGAGTGTCTCTAACCATCGGGTGCGATCATCCCGAGGTCCCCAGCCAGGGAGCCTAACGGGACCTATATGACCCGGACTCCTGGTTAGGATTTTCGTACCCTCATGCCAGGCTTTATTTTAACTACTCGGCTTTCTTTCACCCACTACCTGCTTCGGCAAATATCGCGCGGCGTGGCAACCTATCAGGTGACATGTGTAATGCATGCTCCAACCAGTGTAATCTATAAAGGTTGATCATTTGCTCCAGTGGGCGACCGCATTTACCTAACTCTACGCTTAACCTCAGCATTGCTCGTCCAGCTGCCCCACCAGATTCGTGCAATACTGCGTAGACAACGGTGTTCAGACACCGACAGTCTATCTTTGTCCTGTTTTCTTAATGACCAAGTTTCTGCAAATCTTACTGTTAGCTTCGCTGAATAAAACTTCTCACAATATGTTCTGCGGAATAACTCCTTCGAAATCAACTCCTAATAAATCAAATGGTGGAATCTACATGGAACGTCGATAAATTAAAATCACTTTACTCACAAATACCTCTTACATGTATTTGATGGGCGGAAACAAAG